AACTGAAAACATAACATGCCTATAAGATAATATTAAAACTATTCATCATTTTATCCATAAACGACTATTTTCTTTTTGTTTTTGGCAGCTGGCCAGTACAGGGATCCAAACCCTTGACCTTGGTGTTTGTTTGCATGTTTTTATATTCTATATATACATACAGGTATATACTTAAATATTTGAAACCACAGCAGGTATTCCATTTTATATTCTTTGGTTTTCACTTAACAATATATCATGAAAATGTTTCCACATGGCTACAGAGTATTCTTAATTCTAATATTTAATGTTCCTCAGTGTTTGGTGAAGTCTACCCCTCACCCTATTTAAAATAGGACCTGCTTTGCCCCCACTCCTGAACTCCTTACCCCTATTTTATGCTTTATTTTTCTCCCAAACACTTATCACCATTTGCTATACTGTATGTTCATCTGTTCACGTATCTTGTTTATACCTGTCTCCTTCTCCCCCAATAGAAAGTAATCTCCATGAGGGCAGGAAGGTAGGTCTGCTTTGTTCACTGTTATAATACTAGTCTCAAGATAATAAATAGCACATGATAGACATTTACTAAATATTTATTGGATAACTGGATGTGTTATAATTTATGAAATCCAGTCCCCTAATTTTGGACATTCTGGTCATGCTAAATGTCTATGTGAATATATTTAATTTTATGGAATTTATTTCTTAATATATTCTTAAGAATGAGTCAAGGCTTGGGCATCTTCATGGCTTTTTCTTTGGAGGATATTAGTGGATTTTAGCCANGAGTCAAGGCTTGGGCATCTTCATGGCTTTTTCTTTGGAGGATATTAGTGGATTTTAGCCACTTCTATTAATTTGTCCCTAAACTACTGAGGTTAGACTTCCAGTGCACAGAAATTAAAAGCAAACTAGGAGGGAACTTTCTCAACCTAATGAAGTACATCTACAGAAATCTACAGCTAGCATCATATTTAATGGTAAAAGACTGAATGCTCTCTTCTCAAAATTGCAAACAAAACAAGAATGTTTATTCTCACCAGTCCTATTCAACATAGTGCTGGAAATCCTAGCCAGTGAAGTAAAGCAAGAAAGGGAAATAAACAGTATACAGATAGGAAAGGAAGAAATCTTTCCCTATTTGCAAATGGCATAATTGTCTATGCAGAAAATCTCAAGGAATTTACAAATAAACTCCTAAAACCAACAAGTGTGTTTAGCAAGATTACAGGATACAATGTCAACAAGTAAAAAAAATATATCATATTTTTATACTATAGATAAAAAATTGGAACCAAAGGTTAAAACACGACTATTTACAATCACTAAAAAAATTAAGCTGATGGATTAGCTCACTTGGTTAGAGTGTGGTGCTGATAACACCAAGGTCAAAGGTTTGGATCCCCTTACTGGCCAGCTGCTAAAATAAATAAGTAAATAGATAGATAGATGATACATAGATAGATAATATGTAAAAATATAACAAAACATGTATAGGATCTGTATACTGAAAACTTCCTCATAGTTTGCTAAGAAATTTTACCAGGAATGGGAAGATTTTATTGGATTTTTTACTCTGTTATTGTATGTTGTGGAAGTCTAATTTAATCCACAATATATTATATAATACCAAAAAGTTGCTGAGAAAGTTGACAAAATAAGTCTTACATATTTGTTCCTGAAATCAGTATATTGAACGTTAACTTTGAGAATGTTTGTTGCAATGGACATTTTTTTATTCATTTAACTTAGTTCACCTTCTAAACGCCAGCATAATAAAAAGTTCTCTTATTAATTTTTAATTTCCATGCACTGGGAGTCTAATTTCAGCAGTTTAGGAACCAACATTAATTAATGAAAGTAGCTAAAATGCTGATGAAAGAAAATGCAGATTAAAGAAATCAAAGAAGACCTGAGAGATATACTATGTTCATGGATTGGAGGACTCATCATAATAAAGATAACAATTCTCCCCAGATAGATCTGGTTTATTTTATCAAAATTCCAGCAGGATGTTTTGTAGATAGACAAACATTCTAAACTTTATTTGTAAATGCAAGGGAAATAAAGTAGCTAAAACAATTTTGAAAAAGGGCAACTACCCCGATAGAAGGGGAATGGAAAAGAATCAGTCAGCAAACACCTACTATGTAACAGATGTTCCACATATGTGATTTCATTCAGTCTTTCATTGCAAGAATCCTGCAAGTTGTCTGTTATTACCCTTAATTTCTAGAAAATGTTAAAAGATACATTTAAGTTTACACAGCTGGGTTGTTTGACTCCAATCCCAAGCTCCTTCCATTGAAGTGCTAGTGATTCACTGATTCATTCAGCAAATATTTATTGATCAACTATCTTTGCCTGACACTGCCAAGTAGTAGGGGAGAAGTGTTTAACAAAAAGTGTGATTCTGCTGTCGTGTTGCTTACAATCTGGTGGAGATGAAGTCAGGTGGAGATAGGGTCACATAAGTGAATATAAAAATTAAAGCACAGGAACTGCTTGCCTTGGGTTGACTGTGCCCCCAAAACTTAATCTCCACTGAACTGTTGAAGGTTGGAAATCCTATTATGGTATTTGAAAGGTGGGGCCTTGGAGAGATGATTAGACTGTAGGACCATGCAGTAATGAATGGATTAGTAATCCATTCAGGGGCGTGGTTCTGAGGGCTTTAAAAGAAGAGTGCGTGAGGAACTATCTCTTCTCTGTTCCTCCATCTTCTGTCATTTAAGACCCCTGCATTGCTGTAAAGCCACCACCAAAGAAAACCCTCACCAGATATGTTCTCCAGACTTTGAACTTCCAAGCCTCTGATACTGTAAGCAATAAATTTTGTTTTCTTATAAACTACCCAGTTCCAGGCATTTTTGTTATAAGCAACTGAAACAGACTAACACTCTGCTAAAACAGAATCCTTATGCACCAACTTACCTTTCAGGCAGTTGGGTGGCTGACCATCCCCTCTCCCACTTCAGAGTTCCAAAGGAAAATGCTCTAAGAGCAGATAGGTCACATTTGCTTCAGAAAACTTGGATGTTTTCTCCAAAATAAAGCATCTGAGGAACTTTCCTTGTGAAGATGGGCCGTCTTAGGACTTGGTTTAAAAAACATTTAAAAATTGTCATCTATTTTTATGGTAGGAGAAAATTTAAAATAATATTATTAGATCAAAGGTTGGGTGCTTCCAGTACAACGTCAAATGGAACCAGTAGCAATTAACTGGTAAGTTTAATCAACTGTGGGCCCAAATTAAATGATAATTAGCAAGTGGTTAGAGGCCTTGTAACACCAAGGTCAAGGATTTGATTCCCTGTACTGACCAGCTGCCAAAAAAAAAAAGATAACTAGCAAGTTATCAATTGATCTGTTCAGAGAAGGGGCAGAGGCAGGATCCCAAGACTCTAATGTTATTTATCTAGTAAGATTTGAAAAATTCAGGGTGTCAGTGGAAAATTTTGGAATAGTCAGGGAGTGGTATTTTAACTGATATATCAACTGCATCAATTGGTTTTCTGGATGCATTTTTAATCTCCCATCTGTGCTTGTAGCATTGGGGGTGTTCATCCCCGGTGATCTGATGGTGCAGAGAAGGCATGGGGTGAGGGAATGGGGGCTTGTCAGAAGTGACATGACCCACCCTGGCTAGGAGCATGACAGCAGCCTCGTGGACTGCAGGGCTGCTCTGTAACTGGGTCAATTGCTCCCAGCTCTGTTCCCAGCTGCCTTCAACATGTGTGTGGTGACAGGATATTTAGAAGAGGATTTTCAGTAACTGAATTTTTTTAAAAATTTATTTAAAGATGACCGGTAAGGGGGTCTTAACCCTTTCCTTCAACATGTGTGTGGTGACAGGATATTTAGAAGAGGATTTTCAGTAACTGAATTTTTTTTAAAATTTATTTAAAGATGACCGATAAGGAGGTCTTAACCCTTTACTTCGTGTTGTCAGCACCACGCTCACCCAGTGAGCTAACTGGCCATCCCTATATGGGATCCGAACCCGTGGCCTTGGTGTTATCAGTACCACACTCTCCCGAGTGAGCCACGGGCTGGTCCCAGTAACTGAATTATTTGACAGTCCCCTCTTGCTTCTGTTTTCTCAGGAAGCCAGTCTACCCAGGTCAGGAAGATCTGTCTACTCTCCCCCCATACTAGCCAATCCTGCTGTGAATTATGCTGCCTGAATACTCTTTTTCTTCTTCTCTAGTCCAATTTCCACTCATCCTTCAGGGCCTTGTTCAAGTCCTATGTAAGTCCCCTACGAGGCCTCTGTTCTGAGTTCCAAGTGGTCCATTGCCTGCCTCTGAATTCCCAGAGCCCTGACAAATTCTACGATGCATCTGGTTCTTTCTGAGTCCTTTCCTATGTGGTTTGTTGGTTTCTGAATTAATTTATGCATTTTATCATTTAAGAAAATATTTGAGAGATTACTTTGCAGCAGGCCTTGGATAAGGCTCTAGAAATTTTATTTCATGCAGCACCTTGCCTCTTCAACTAAAATGTAAGCTCCTAACTATTGGGAACTGTACTGTTTGGGTGGTCATTCTTTGGTTTCTTTGTCCTACTCCTATCCCACAGTCTTGCAAAGTGTTCCCTGTCCAAGAAGTTCTTGATGCATACTTCAGAATGAATGAATGAATCAATCAATCAGCCAACTCAGTAACCTGCTAATTTAGTTAAACTTTGGTCTCCTTGTGTTATAGAGAGCCAGATACCTTATGAAATATAGGCATACCTCATTTCTAATTTTTTTTAAATGTTGAGCTAATTTAAACTATTAAACTATTATAATATTTAAAACTATTAAACTATTATAGTAATTCAAAGTTGAGAGAAATGAATGTTCACTTTCCCAAAGAATTCTTGGCTTTACAAAAAGTTTGCCACAAAGTTTCTTTAAACCGTGAGCTCCTAGCTCTAGAACATTCAAAATGCAATCAGCTACTTAGTGATGCAACCTCTAAGTGAGAGCATTGAGAGATTTGGGCAGTAACAACCATACACTGTGTTACCTGCTTGGGCTGCAGTGAGCAGAGACCTTCTCGTTTTTAAAAGCAGTCCTCTGAGGCCAGCAATTATTTCAGCTGCCTCCTGGTGTTGGATATACTGCAAAGGCACACTGCAGAGTTGTAGGACTTCATCCCTTTACATCATTCAAAGGGTATTGTGATGCACTGTGGGCTAGAAAATTTGCTAGGCAATGCCTTCCAGGTCTTGGGCTTATAAAAAGTAGAGATGCTTTGGTCTCTATGGAGAGCCCAGCTGCACATGAAAGAAAGGGCAGAAATTAGTGTGAAAGGGAAAATCACGTAGGCGAGTAACACAGAGAACCTAATCACTAGAGCTTTCTTTTCTATAAAAATAGTTCCAAGGACAATGTAAGTTCAAAGATATGGGTGGTGCTGGACTGGCAAGTACTTCCCTTAAGAGGCAGGGGTTGGGGTGCTGATAACACCAAGGTCAAGGATTCAGATCCCTGTAAAAAAAAAAAAAAAAAAAAGTAGCAGGGGTTGGCACAAGGGATAACTGAGGCCAGCTCTGCCTGGTCCAAGACTAGATTAGACTCTAGCACGCTGCTACTGAAGGCATCGAAGGGAGCTTTTAATTGTTTAAAAATATAGCTCAAACCAATCCACAGAGCATCACAGTAGCTCTGCTATTAAAACAGCAAGTCACAACCTGAGAAGCACAGAATGACAAAAGTATTCATTCAGACCAACCTTTCTCAAAACAAAAACCAAAGCAAACAAAATACCAACACTATCTACAGTAGGCTTGCCTGAATACCGCTCAGTGAAATAAAGTTTGCAAGTAGGAAGTAAAGTATTTCCATAAGATTCCAGAGGGCATGTAGGAGAGACCAGGGGTAGGCTGAGTTCCCACAAGGGAAATTAACCTACATGAAAGTGACACAAAATAATTTAATACCAGAGTCTTGGTGACACAATGTTTTGTTGAAAGGCCACAAGCCAGGGAAAATTTAAATATAAAAAACAGAAGCAACATACTGGACCCACATTAATAGAAGGGATAAATTCGCTCTCATTTGTTGAGTAAGCACCTTCAGTGTGCCAGGCATTGTGTTAGCTCATGGACCTGTGCCATTGTGATCCCTGCCTTGACTGTGGAAGGAAAGTATCTTCATTTGAAATGAAGACTAAGAGAAGCTAAAGAGCTTGCCCAAAGTCATATAACTAGGCCATGATAAATCTGGGATTTGAATACAGCTCTGTTTGACAATGAAGCCCAGGTTAAATTACATTTTAATTAAAATACGTTATTTATTTATTCACTTATTGGCAGCGGGCCGGTACCAGGATCTATCTCTCCATATATTTTATTTAAAAAGTATATATATAATTTGAGTAAGTTTTAAAATATGTAACTAAACAGTCAAAAATTATGATGACTAATCTACACAGTAGAAGAGGTTGTGTGGATTGGTCATCAGAAGTTCCTCTAAACAATAGGGGTTGCTTTTCCATAAAGATGATCATTGATATAAATTTCTTCAAGCTTCTGCCAAGCTTAGTGACCTCGGATACATAGTTCTCCATCATCTTCAGCTTTAACTTGTCCTCCAAATCTCCCCGCTCTGGGTGTTGTAAATGGCAAGCTAATGCTTCCTTAGAAGAGTGTTAGTGAGATTGTCCTGTAAAATGTGATCGGAAAGCTATCAGCCTGTCTTAGACCATGGAGCTATCAGTCTATCTCAGACCACGTGATTTTGACCCTCTCAAAAGCCAAGATATTGCCAGCTATCCTGACTACCATCCAGGGAAGCAATCACCACCTTTTCTTATCATGTTTAAATCTTATCTTCAAGTTTGGAAGCACATCCATTAAATAACTCTTCCCCAGGACCCACTGTGAACTCACCATTTAAGAGTCATCTCGCCATTTAATCTCACATTTCTTCCCTGGTGACAACAGAGATCTCAGACACCTTCCTCATTTGCAGAGAAGCTCTAAATATTCTTTTAAAAATAATACATTTTCTCATAATTCAGGTAACATAGGAAAACATACTTAGAAACATTAAAATTATGTGAAATCCTTCAATCTAGAGGCATTACGATTCATATTTGAGTTCATTAAATATATTACAGTGATTATTGGGATAGGGTGCCATGGTACACTTAGACTCCCATGAGGAAGCCCCAGCCAGTTCCTTAGCCAGAATTCATTCAGGACAGAGCAAGTGTGCTGAGTATTCGTCACCCACTCTCCTGAAACGTCCCCTTTACTTGTCACCTCTGAACATGGAGCCAGGCCTCCTCTGCTCCCCTTGCTGGCTCCTCTACCTTTCTAGGCTAAAGGAAGCCTTTCAAACAGATAAGTCCTCTAATCACAAAGACTGCAGGGATCCCAGTGGTGGAGGATATGGTGCCCTGCCCTGATTCTACCCTCCAAGATGGAGCTATGTCCACACCTGCTTAGAGTGTGTGTGGCCTCGTGGTTACACGCAATTATTGCCCCCTGGGAATTGCCCTTGGCCAAGGAAAACTGGTGTCGATGGTTTATGCTCCCACCTGCAGGCAGCCTACATCCAGTGACTTGTCAATAGGTGGACACCAAGGCCCAGCCCACCTGCCACAGCTCGGGACCACGGTGAAAGGTCATCCCAGCTTCCAACTCCCTGTGGAATCAACTAGTTGAGGCAAAGCCTTTGCTACATCTGAGCTCAATTTCTCTCTCTACTCAGTCCTGCTGCCTGTGTTCCTTTATGGAAATAGTTCCTGAGACTATTCCCCAATAAACCACCTCCAGGCAAATCTTTGTCTTGGAGTCAGTTTCCCAGTGAACTTGGCTTGAAAGAGTTGGTTCTGGGAGTGGTCTGAGGAAGCAGACTCTAAATGGAATTTTGGAATTTCATCACTCACTGGCAGGTGAAGTGGAGAAGTTGTTAAAACCTTCACTTATGGTACAAAAGGACTGAATATGAGAAGAAGGGCACAATGGGCAGGTGCAATTTCTCGGGTATCCAAGAGGTTGGAGGAGAAGTAATTAAGAGAGTAATGAAATTTGATGGTTCCTGATGAGTACCATATATGCTTTGCTGTAAGACATTGAACATAATCATTAATTTAGGCAAAGTGTGAAAGCAGAGGACCCTTTAAAAAAAAAAAAAGATGACAGGTAAGGGGATCTTAACCCTTGACTTGGTGTTGTCAGCAGCATGCTCGCCCAAGTGAGTGAACTGGCCATCCCTATATAGGGATCCGAACCTGTGGCCTTGATGTTATCAGTACTGCGCTCTCCCAAGTGAGTCACGGGCCCGCCCAAGAGGACCCTTTTTGCAGCATATGAGGGACCTCATTTCTTGCAGCAGGAGGGCCAAGAAAGATGAGGATCAGACTCGGGACTTAAATATAAGGATAGTGGAACTCCAGAGAAGAACCCTGTTGCTTTGCCTCCCACGGATTTGTCGCCCCTTTCCCCCTGGGTGATGGAGCCACCAAAAACTACTCAAACCCCATGTCTTCTGAGCAGTGAGAAGCTCCAAAGAGAGGTTAATCTCCCAGAACCCTCAAGAGTGAGGCATTCCTTCCATTTGGGAAATTAACCACGAATTGGGGTTCTCTTCCTGCATTTATTCTCCAGACCAGGAAGTTTCAGGAAGAGAACATAGGTGGGGTTTTTGCTAAGTACAGTTTAACAAGTTTAACAATAGAAGCTGGTAACATTCAGTAAGGTGACATTCTATAATGCAGTTAAGTCAATCCACTAACAAAAGCTTGATTTTAGCAAACATTCTCTTCTTACAGCAATTTCCCTGTATCTTTACATATCAATCAGTAACCTGTCTGTCTTTGAGCCAGCAACCTTGCTGTGTTACAATTCTTTATCTTACAACAGACACTGTAGCTTGGGGAAAACTTCCTGTCCTTTGCAAGGTCAATATTTGAAACTGCAAGGCTTTGGAAAACCAGGCCCTGTGAAGTACATTTGTTTTATGCATACTTCACAGAACCCAGAAAATCTGCTATGGCAGTGTCAGGGCCATGGTTGCAAAAGAGTAGAGGCCTAAGACTTGGGATGAAGAAAAAGGGGTCAATACACTTGAGAGCCTTGAAAACTCAGATTCATCTGGATTCTCTAGCCCTGCAGAAGTGGCCCACTTCTCTCTCTTCTCTTGGTTATTGCTCCTCCCTTGCATGATGGCTTGAAGGCAATGCAGAGGCCACCCCACCCCACCCCTTTCAGAAACCACCCCCATTTCCCCTTCTGGCCACGAGACAGATATTAGACCAAGTAACAATGTAATGCACAGGGGAAGTGCTGGACCTGCTAAGAGAGCAAGGAAACTACGAGTCAAAGGAATAAAATCTGAATTGCAGTCACAAGGAAAGATCAGACAAACCCAAATATTCTACAAAATAGCTGGCCTGAACTCTTAAAATGATAAAGTCAGCTGGCCAGTTAAATCAGTTGGTTAGAGCACAGCTTTATAACACCAAGGTCATGGGTTTGGATCCCCACACTGGCCAGCTGCTAAAAAATAAAAATAAAAATGACAAAGTCAAGAAAGATAAAGAAAAGATGAGAAACTCTTCTGAATTAAAAGAGATCAAAGAGATATGACAAAATAAAAGCAACATGTGGTCTTGTCCTGGGTCCTGGGCCAGATTCTAAAGTGCCCTGAAGCAGATCCAGATGGCACCTCCTGGACCTCCTCTTTAGGACTGAGGTGCTATTCCCCAGCTGAAAGTATTACCTGAGCAGGTCACAGTTCAGTCACTCCCCAGGAATTTGCATCACCTAAGATCACATACCCTTCCTGGGGCACCCCACATTCAATGATTGGTTAATATGGGGATACAGAAGTCCAGCCTTCTTGCCTGAATTTGGGACGTCTCTGGAGTTCCATTCTAGCTTTGGAGCTCTCCATGGGATTGGCTGAAGCCTCTGATGTAAATGACTCACAGTTCAGCTTATCCCTTTGCCAAATCCTACTTTCACTCCCTTACATGCACATGCCCCAACAGGCCACTCCCATGCAAGTTTCCATCTCGGAGTGTGTTTCCCAGGAAACCCTATCTATGAGACCAACCGAAAGCCAAAAGACCTCTTCCTTCAAAAGAACTGCAATCCCTGCCTTCTCCATCTGCCA